CATCACCTCCCTCGACAATGGGTAATGTTAGCTGATATAGGATCAAGTTGGAAAAGAGTTAGCTAGTGATGGTTAAATTGAAATCCGACATCACTCGATGAAATCTTTGATAATTAGTTTGACCCACGTAAGGAGGTATAGGTGCGTCAGTGGCATAGAGGTAAGGACGCTCGCCGACCATGAACATGGTCCGGGGTTCGATCCCCGGCCGGCGCACTCTTTTACCTCGCTAAGCCAGAACTAAAGCTGGTGAAGAGGAAAGGTTGGGCATGAGGCTAGCAACCCCATTCTGTAAGGTAAACACTGCTACAGAAACTTCAAGCCACTAGCTTGAAGCCCTATGTTCTACTGGGGAACATGAAGGAAAAAAAGGAGGTATAGACTAAATGGTTGGAGTCTTCGGGATGGTAAGAACCAATGACTGGATACTATTGGTGATATGGTTCCAAATTCTTCTCAAAAGCGCAGATGCATTCATTCTTTGTGACTTGTCATATCCAAAAAACCCTATTATTCTTCCATATTACTATTCTTTTTCCCCCACCCTTCTGTTTATTATCTTTCTTTTGAATCTCCGTTACTCTCTTCTCTTGCTTTGTGTGCCAAATTGAGTGTGGTAACTCGAATTGCTGTACTTCTGTGCAAAGTTCTATGTTGAAGTCAGTCAATGGTCGTGTCTCACAGTTATAAAGTACAATCCATGTCAAGAGAACCAATAGCACAATGAAAACGCTTCATTGTTGTTCGTTTTATGTAACAAATTCCTTCGTCTACAATTTATTATCCAGTTAGACAAGATGCATAAATATGCGAAAACTCATTGAGCACAAATTGATTTTCTACTCATCTCTGAGTAAATGTGAATAAACTGAACGATGGTCAAAAATAAACTATGTGAAGTATATGTGGGTATAAAAACAGAACAGATACGGTTGTTTTCAATAAGATGAGTGGAGTAAAATGACCATTAAAAACACCACAAACATCATCACTCCTATTGTTTTCTAGTACAGTACTTGGTGACTGAGCTTTAACGTGGAACGTTCCACAGAACTACAGTATTTCAAGGTGTCACACTACATGTAGCACACAAATGTGGAGTAAGACACTCAAAATAACTACAATGAGTAAGAAAGATAGAGGAGAAAGAATAGTAACATGGAAAAAAATCATGAAGAATTAATGGGTTTGGGAGATTATGAAGAGTGAATGCATCTGCGACACTGAGAACAACTTTGTACCACTTCACCAACAGCCCTCAGTCATTAGTTCTTATTATCTTGAAAATTCCTAACTAGGGAATGTACATATCCTAATATTTACTTAGATGAACTGATACCCACTTGAAATTTTAGTACTTCACTACCAACAGTCATAATCTCAAGTGATTAGTCCTTCTGAACAACCCATTCACGACAAAGAGTTAAAAATTACGCTCACCAACAGTTAAATTGATGATTAGACTAACACAAGACGTAGTGCTAGTAGAAGTGCTTCCACTGAACTGTTTTTTTTCCTAAGAGGCTTTCAATATTTTCGAAGATGAAGGATGCCAGTGAGCACGGGTACACATATACAGTTTTTGTTATATTCCTATGCGTTCTAAGTGCAACATAAGGCTTCAAGCTTGGGCTATAGAGTTTCAGTAGCAGTGGTATTCTTTCTTAAGGGGTGGAGTTGCTAGCCTCACATCTAACATTCCCTCTCTATCGGGCTTACAACCACCTAATCGGGGTTTAGGAGTGGGCCGACTGGGAATCGAATCCCATCCCACCACGTGTGGGTTGGTTGACGACCATTCTACCACTAAACCACCAACGCGTATATGATTCTCAACCCTAAATGAACAGGGTGCTGGACCGCTTACCTTCGCATTAACCAGTTAACTGAAAAAGTAGAGGTCAGAACCTAATATCAAATGATGAGAGCTGTAGGCTAATAATCTGAGGAAGACAACTTATCGCTACATCATAACAAGTACTCTCTTATTTTATTGCTCGACTATGCATGCATAACCCACTGAAAACATATTTTTCCAGCAAACATCGTTAAATTATTTTGAACAGCTTCGGCAAAAGTTTTCGAATGTTTGGCATGCAATTCGCTCCTGTTAACTGTAAGATGATGCTGCAGAAACAGACTGAACTGACTCCTAGCTTAAAGACTGACTGACTGGTTTCAACATAGAACTTTGCGCCGATGTGCAGCAGTTCTAGTCGCCACACTTCACTCAGCACACAAAGCACGAGAAGAAAGTAAAAATGAACGCAAAATAGAGACAGTTAACAGAGATATGAAGCAAAAAGAACAGTACTACCGAAGAATAGTATAGTTTTATTGGGTATTATAAGTTACAAGCAGTGGATGCATCTGCGCCATCATCGAGAACGATTTTGAGCCATATCACCAACTGTCTCCAACCAATGGAGTTTACCGTCCCAAGGACCCCAACCAGGAAGTCTACACCTTCCTACTTGGCTTAAACTAACTGTTGTGGATTTCATTGACTGATGAAGCCATGTTTTGGTTTAAGCACCACTAGCTAGTTCCTTTCCAACCTTATCCTATGTCAGTGAACATTGCTCGTCGAGGAAGGTGACGGCTTGTCATGCGTAACACATGTCCATCTCAATCGATGTAACTTTACAGCCTTGTCTATTGACTTTCCCATCCTTACCTAGCACTCCACCGAAGCCTCATCTCAATATCACTCCCTCTGTTATACCACCTGGCAAAGGAGATAGGACACAGGCACCTATGATCAAAGACAACTAGCCAGACAGACTTTAATGTCCTCGACTCTCAATGGCCAGGTCTCATAGCCATAAAGGAGGACGGAGCGGATTGCTGAGCAGTACACACGTCCTTTGGTAGATAGCCAACGGGATATCACGTCTATGCCAGAGACGGCGTAAACTGGCATATGAGAAACTAGGCCTCTGTATCCATGCTGAGATTTCGTCAGCGATCAACCTGTTGGCACTGGCTGATGCAACCTCCCATATAAGTGAAGTGGTCAACACGCTCTACCATTTCACCCCTGCTTATCTTTAAGCTAGGAATCAATGTAGTCCAGTCCTTTAACATCATCTTACATTTGAAGGGAGCGAATCGCATGCCAAACATTCGTAGATTGCTGCTGCTCAAGGTGTTCAGAAGACTCTGCTCAATTTTGTAAGCGTCTTCACCTAGAAGGACACGATAATCTGCATATTCTAAGTCAACGAGATTATTCACTGGCGGTAACAAGTCAATCCTTGAGTCTCTGAAGTGAGTTAGGGTTAAGTCTATTAGTACATCTATGATGAAATTGAATAGAAATGGGGATAGTGGGCATCCCTGACGGACACCACTAGTTGTCACCACTTCAGATGACAACTCGCCATAAGCCTTCACCTGGCTGGCTGCGTGAGTTCGAGTAGAGTGCCTTGACCAGTGCAATACTATATTAGTCTAAAGTTCTAGGCTCAATAATAATGTGTAGACTAAGTGGTGCTCGGGAAGAACAAAACGAGAGAATCAGGCAGGCTTTAAACCAGGAAGAGGGTTATCGACCATATCTTCACCTTTCAACAGATTCTGGAGCATAGGCATGCTTACCGTCGGCGTCCAACAATCGTTATATTTCTTGACCTAAAGGTGGCATTCAGTTCTGTCTTAAAGATAAGGAGTGAAGTGGTAGACTGTGATGATCACTTCATTCACTTAGGAAGTTCTATTAGCCCTAATGGACTAATTGCTAAGGAATTATCAGAACAGATACTAAAAGGCTGGTGCGGCATTTGCAAACTCAAATCACCTCTGGCATAGACGTGATACCCGCCTATCGATTGAAAGACGTGTATACTGCTCAGTATTTCGCTCTATCCTCCTTTATACTTGGGAGACTATCGAATGTAGGGGATATGGAAAAGCTAGCTGTCTCTGATCATATGTGCCTGCGTTTTATCTCTCGTCTTAAGTAGTATTATATGGTAAGTAATACTGATGTTAGGGGGAAAGTATTAGGTAAGGAAGGGAAGCTAATCGATGTGGTTGTGAAACTACATCGATTGAGATGCATCGGCTACGTGCTGCCTATGCAAAAGCTACCACCTTTGTCGTCAATTAGGTGGGAGGAGTTAGTGGTGGTCAAACCAAAACCTGGCATCGATCCATGATGTCATAGACTGTTGGTTTCAGCCAATCATACAGGGAGGTAAAAACTTCTTGGTTGAAGCCTTTAGGATTCTGAGAACCAATGCTTGAGGGTTTTAGTGATATGGCTCAAAATCGTTCTCAATGGTGCACCTGCAATCACCCTATGTAATCTCCCAGATCCATTAAGTTCTCGTGTTTTTATGCCATTATTCTTTTTCCTTCACACTAATGCTCATTATAATTCTTTTGAATTTCTTTTTTCTCCTCCATTTACTCTACCTTTGTATGCTACACAAAATGTAGCAACTTGAACTGTCGTACTTCTGTGCGAAATTCTACGCTGAAACTCAATCAGTCAGTCAGTCAGTTAAATTATTCCCCACGCTTGGTAACAACTTCTTTTGTACCCGACTTCGTACACCTGTTAACAAATAACTTCGGCACTCAATTAATAGGACATGGTAAGCTAAAAGTAACTTGCACTAACATGCTTGTCATATAACTTATGGGTGCTTAGACTCTTGTCTTCTGACAAATAAAAATTAGGCTAAATGAATACTCTTATTATTCTCTTGTTTAGTAAGTTACAAATTTTGCTGCATATGCAACAACACCTTCCAAATCACAGCAATAACAACTAAATGTAATTTGGTTCTGGTAATGCTAAGATGTTTGATAAACAGTGTCCTAGCAGTGAAGAAACCACTTTGATAAATACTCTTGAATTACTCAATAACCGGTTATTTAACCGGAGAGCTGCTGTTCATTTTATAAGACAAACGACCTAAGAACGTTTAGGTATCACAACTCGTATATATGGATTTCATCCATGTCCTGATAAATTCATGCTTCATAGATTGTTATGTGAGCTAAATAGCAGACATTAAGAGATACGTCAAACCAAATACACTGAGATTAGGACTTACCTTGATTGTCGTAGTATTTCGAACTTGGAATTTGCACTCACAAAAAGGACAAAAACGTTTGTCATTTTGTAACATATATTCACAAGTGCTATAGACAAATAAGAACATTTTATTATAAAATATGAAGTATATTACCATTTTTCTGAAGAAATCGCTTTTACAAATATTTTCTTCGTAGACTTGGTTTCATTAGTGACAGAGGCTGGAAGCAAACAGACACATTTACACCGAGTGTCTTCATAAGCTCCCTAGAGTTTGAAGACAAAAACATTAGTCTGAAAAATACAAAATCTTACCAATGCATTGTGGATGATTAACACAGCCACAAATGTTACATAGAACTGCATGTTTCACACACACCTGAGTTTTATGTCATGAAGAACAAACTGAAAGTTAATAGAAACAGATTAGAGTACTTTTAAAATCGCAGACAGACATAGGCAGATTAAAAATGCTTTCAAAAGTGGAGTGTTTATGACTAAACATTTTATTTCTGATTCATGAAAGTGGAATGTAAGGTTAGAATACATGCAAACTGATAAACAGATTAATCACATAAATTATGCCTAGGATAAGTATTTTTGCAATTAACAGTGTTCTCTGAGCTGGTTGGTTTAGTTGCGAAGCTTTCGTCGTCCTTCTGGACAACATCTTCAGCGCCATATTTAGCACGAAGTGAAATGATTTAAATTTCTTCATGAGTGATGTAATTGCGTCTCTTGGTAACTATCTTTACATATGTATTGACCATTTCTATTGACTTGGATTTTAAACTTTTTGGTCACCTGATTTACTTTTTATTAGTTGGTATATTTCATCTATATTAACGTGTTTGTTAATTGCATTTTCGCTTGAGTACTAGGCTTCTAGGAATTCTCTGGCACTTTTCGTGTTTCCTCTGTTTAAGATTTTGACATGATCCCAATCAAATTGATGACCATAATTGTCTGAATGCATTTTTATCATCCCACTAGTTCTGGAACATGGATGAAGATTTTCAGTACCAGATGTCCCCGGTACCTGTTCAACCTTCAAAAACTTTAAATTATGGAAAATAGCACAAGTAAAAGCATCATTACTGAAAACCTTCCCTCCTGTTTTTGAATAGTCGATACAAAAATTGCCTCTACAGAATGACTATCATATATCTATCCGGACCATAATGTGAATTGTACCGAAGTTAAATTCACGGTTTGAGATAAGACACTTAGGTAGTAAGTCATGCTGTTCGGTGAAAAAAGATTAAGTGAGTCATTTATATCAGTGATAAGATTTTGTCGGAAAATGATTAGCAACAACTGAGATATGTTAGGTAAATGAGTTGGTCAACGGACTCAACCAATTCAACCTATGCAGTTAAATGGGGTATCAATATATACCAGTTTTATGTCAACACTTAAGGCTTAAGATTTACGACTTAAATCCTAAATACTTTCACGCTGTTACTCGGAGTTTAAAAAGCTTTCATTCCTGACTATGGCATTTGTGCAATCCAAGTCAAATATCTACTGCGATATCAATCCGTGAGAGAGTACAGACATTTTCATGAGCACATTTATGAAGCTATTATTGAATAACACTCGGTGCAAATGTATTAACAGATAGTTCAACATAAGTGTTCAGGTACACAACCTGAAGTAAGAGGACATTCCTATCAAATGTACCAAGTGATCACTGTTATCCCTTAGTTCAGCTGAGACAGAAAAAGTAGTAGGTATCTTTCTATCGGGGAGATATACTTCTGTTTCACAACTTGCTCTTCTGCCGTGAAGAACCAGCTTGTTTGAAGTCAGGTGAAAATAGAGACAAAATATGAAGTTTACAATTAAGTTGGATGGGGGATTCCGATTTGGGACCCTAACTCTCCAGAAGTCTCCTCCAATTCCAAGGTAACAAAAGGTTGCCTAAATATAATTACATTTCAGTCTCTCTTCAGCCTGTGACACGGAATTTTTAAATGAATTTCTCCTCATTCTTAGGCATGTCATTTAAATCTCACTCGCCTTTAGTATCAGGACGTCACTGAGTTGAGAGGACGTGGTGCGTAAGTGATATGGTGTGTATATGAAGTTTTGGTTACATGGACTAGTTGCGGTGCACTGAAGAAACTTTGGGGCATACACCGGGCTCACTGCAAACAATTTGGGGCACACGCTAGATAAACAGATCCTATGACTAAATGCATCTCCAAGAATCCTTAGTCCAACGATTTTGTAGTGCGTCCGACGCTTACGATCCGTGGACGGTATTTTAGCTGTGCTGCTCTAGTATGAATTGGCGTCATGGAAAAATGAGCACCTTAAAAGAACATATGTTTTCATGCAAGGGAGCCACAAATGGTAGATAACATTCCAAATGAGTAACAACCCAAGCTTACAGCAATTCTAAACTTTTTCTAACCTACTCTTCAATAATGACTTTTTATGGTAAATGAAGATTTTATCTACCTACTATGTTCTGAAATAACGCTGGTCGTGGTTACAAAGAGAGCTGGGTGCTTAACTAATGCGACAAAATCTTAAAAATAAGATTAGTATCTGAAATAGTGCCTTTAGTGCTGAAAATAAGCACTGCATGCCTAACTGCTGCGGTTAGTACTGAAAAATTGCACTCTATCTGGACATAGTTTATTGAGACCAACCAATCCGCAAAGAGTAGGTTACACACGGAATACATAGTGTGACGGCTACATACTTGTTTGGGGATTACATATAATATGACTGGTCTATTTGACCACAGGTGTAATAGTAAATAAGAATACGACGAAAAATTGCCACTATGTGTTGAATTAAGTTTTTCGTTCTGAAATAATGCTAGTCAGTGCTAATTATGTTCTGTAAGGGCTGGAACAACGCTGATAAGCAAACTGAGACGGTTCTGATCTACTCCTGGAAATGCCTAGAAGAGAAAGAGGCGCTAAATTAGTGCAAGTAATGCTGAAAACCAGCATTGAGTTCTAGTCTGTGCCATCAACGAATCCATTTCACAAAAGATTCAGTATTTACTCACTATATAATATTACAATTATTTCAGAATTAGTGAGATTTAATTCAGCATTATGGTAAGCTGGGGAAATTCATGAGTGAATCACAAGTCCAAATATAAGGATAGGGTGTTTGAGAGAAAATTGGAGGTTTCAGAGAGAGGTTTGAGGCTTTCTGTGGATCAGGATTTCCACAGAATTTCTCCGTTACATCACCCCCAAATTTTTCTATCTAGGAAGTATCAAACATTATAATCTAAAATCGACGAATCTAAGTGGCGTACTAAGCCTTACAGGCTACCCGCTTGCTCAAGAGATATTATCATTAGGAATATTAGTGAATAAATTGTTTGGAATGACGCTAAATTCACCTATGAGAGATAGTCATTGATAGGATCTACTTACGCACCGCTACCTTCAGTCAGACCGCACATGAAAACCTTCAATATTCAATGCCATAAATTTCAGCAGTGACTTATCCATAAAATTAAGGTTGTTGGAGTTGTAAAATATATCTGAAAAAATGTTTTAGCTGCTTGAAAAAGACAGATGTCTACGCAATGGTATGCTGCAACATACAGATTAACAGTCATACGAATAGCGAAAACAGAACACCAGCTGAGGCAGGCAAATGTACTGTGCTCAAAATTGAAGTTGAAAAGATGAAACAGAGCATCCAAAATGTGTCGTTCCTTCTTATTTTCATTAATGTTGAGTTTTTGCAGTTTTCCCATCTCTTGTGTTAGAGAATTAGTTTCAGATTCTCCTTCCTCAGGCGGAGAGAACGAAAAATCATTTAGTGCCTAATCAATATAGATTGCGGTTTCACTATACGTGACCACGGCAACGTGGCCGATGCCGCAGATAATGCTGAATCTCAAATACCGCTGCTGCTTCATGAAACAGATACAAACCTAGAAAAGATTACGGAGACTGTACATCTGCGTTGAAAAAAGCAGTCTATTTGCAGTTTTGATATCTTTATCAGTATCTTAACTACTTCTGCAATTACTGTCCACTTTGCCAACCTTCATCTCACCACCCTGACACTTGCATGTACTATTTCGACTTATAATTCAGTATTTTTTCCGGCTGAGTGATGCTGGACTCTTAACAGCAGTGTTTTTTCATGCTGCGGCTACTCTGTATGAATAAACTGAAAACTGCACTGTAAAGTGACTGTTTGACCTAGGACCGTCTGCGAAACACATATTTTGTTCTCGATTCCTTCAGATTGAATTCTGATCCCGTTTTGATTAGGATATGGTGGTTTATTTCTATGTAATTTACTTTCTTCTGTGGTTAGCCTCTTAGGAAAATTTGAGGTTTATATTTTCCAATACCGTGGTTCATCTAATTCTCTATTTTTGATGCAATCTACTATTATTCCTTAGTACTAAAGATTTATCATATTAAATAGTACAACTATACTTTTGTTATTTAGCTTTAATTCTGTCCGACTCATGAATGTTTGCAAACTATAGGCAGAGGATAGAGGCACAAATCAGCTGATTGCTGCAGATATCCAGTGTTATCGTGGCTATCCTACGTTGTTTTGGGGGAGTTTTCTGCAGAAATGCATTTTAAATACCTTTTTAATAAAAAAACATGTAAAAGGTGAGAAAATAGTCATTTTCAGTGTGTTGGCAAAATGCTGTCTCAGTTGGTAGTGGTGTTGAATCAGTCTTTGCAGTTTTCACCACCCCGGATCCGTTCAGAGAAACTGATCTTTTCAAGCAAACATTGAGATATTTATTCCTGAAAATACCTTCGGCCACATTCACAAATATCTGAGGATGTATACATACCAGGTAAACTGATCTTACCTCTGGTGAACAAATCCTTATCTAAGGCACATTGATTATGTGAACATAGGGAGGAACCATCATAGAGTTGGTGAAACTCTACAGATTAGTCTGTGGTGGCCAGAAAATATCAAATTATACGTTCACCGTAAAATAGTGAAATTAATGAATTCACAGAAAATCATGCTTGTTACATCAGACTGAACAAGGACAATCCCTAGTTCCGCGCGCAATCAAGACTACACTTCTTCCCTCTCCAGCTTCTCGCCTTTCACATCTGCCAACCAACTGTGCCCCGTAGCTGACCAATACGTGCACATTAGGATCATTTGCTGCAATCTACGTTTCTCTTCTCAAGTGCCATCCTGCCGTTGGTATCTTTCATGCGTATTGAGAATCTGTATACCCAAGAAAAGGACTATTTCATCCCTATCATCTTTATTTGTGTATTTTGGGACAGTTATAACTTTTCAAATAACTGCATTTTATGTGTAAAATAATTCATGTGGACTTAATACCCTTCTATATACATGTAGGTTTGTATTTGCTTTTTCCTTTT